AAAAAAAAAAAAAAAAAAAAGCCAAAACCCCTATTTGCACCTTTTATTTATTTTTTTTTCACGGTCAACATTTTTCAGAATTTTTCTTTCTTATTCACATCCTCCACTTTTTAAAATTCGTGAAAAACTCAATATTTTAATGGACCATCACGGCACCGTTAATAACCATTAAAAATTGTAATACGTGACATTAAACAGTAACATAATCCAATGTGAACTTTTTTTTTGATGATATGGCATAATTAAACCATAATTAATTTTAATTTTTTCATTTTCTTCTTTCCCGCATCATCTTTACCATCTTCCTCTTCATCCTCCTGGGTTCCTCATGGAACCAGGAACCCAAAACTTTATGTCACATTTATTAATCTAATGTTGGACTTTTTTTTATGTGTTATAATTAAATCATCATTAATTTTAATTTTTTCATTTTCTTTTTTCCCGGCATCATCTTCACCATCCTCGTCCTCATCCCCCTAGGTTCTGAGTTCTTCATCCTCGTCCTCATCCCCCTAGGTTCTGAGTTCTTCGTGGAACCTAATTTCACATGAATGCCTACCAAGCTAAGATTTTCATCTACACAATTATAAGTAAATGAATACTGCACAAAAACATGATAAGCATCTTCTACTCCTTTCCCACAAAAAACCAAAAAAACTCAAATTGGCAACCTATTACAAAACAATCTCCAAGCAAAAAAACTCACCTTTCCAACAAAAAAATTATTCCAAATTGCTTTGCATAAAATCGGAAGCTAAGATAAATACATTTAAAATAAAAAAATAAAAAAATAAAAAAGGTTGGAACTGGGTTCCTCGCGCAGGAGCCCAAACTGGGTTCCGCGCAGGAACCCGAACTGGGTTCCCCGCGAGGATGGTGAAGATGATGTCGAGGATGAGGGGGGAAAGAAAAAAATGAAAAAATGCCATTTATGTAACTATTTGGTAGTATTATAATTTTTTATTATTTTCACTGTATACGTGGCGTCCACATCCGTAAAAAATAAACCACGTCATAAAAAAAAAGATCCACATTAGATTATTAACATTACATAGTGCCACGTCAATTTTTGGGTGCCACGTAATATATTTTTTAACGGTGTCATGACGGCAAGTTAAATATTGGGTTTTTCACGGGTTTTGAAAAGTGAAGGGTGTGAATAAGGAGGAAAAATTCTGAAAGGTGTTGATCGCGGAAAAAAAATAAATGGATGGTGCAAATAGGGACTTTGCCCCAAAAAAAAAGAAAGAAAAAAGAAACAGCAAATATCAAAGGAAAAGCATCAAAGTCATCATACACTACTCCTTTCTTCCTCATCATCTCAGCTAATTGTTCTCGAGTCTCAAAAACAGCTTCTCGTTTTCCTCTCTGAATTCTCGTGTTTGCCCAGCGTGGTTTGGCATTTGAGATCTGGTAAGTGACTATGTTTTTCTGCTCTTTAATTGCTTTCAAAAGCTCTCGGAAATTCTTTAGTATTTTTGTAGAGAGGCTTAAACTATAACAATTATAAAATCCATCAAAAAACTTAAGAGATAAGTGAGACTCTTGGCTGTTTTAAATTGGACGCTTCACATTGTTATTATTATTTTAGTAAAATTCCATCTCTTTTTTTACCAAAAAAAAGAGTATCTATTTCATGTTGCTTACTTTTCTCTTTTCCTTCAACTAATGTGTATAATTTGATAGTTACTCAAACAATTTCTTGAATGATTTCTATCTATTGTTCATGAATTTGAAGGGTGTTCCTATGGTTAATAAGACCAGGTGTAGCAGTATGTGATTTTCTGTATAAAGAGAGCGGTGATTAAGGAGAAAGAGAAAACTCACAAGATGGAAACATAATAACAAACAATTCAATATTTGAGAAAACACTTCTTCTTTTTTCCTTCTTCTCGCCTCTTACAACACTTTTTTGTTTTTCCTTTGTCTCAGAATTCAGTTGCTTGCTCGATCTTTCTCTGTCTCCAAGCATGATACTTGACTTTTTCAAGGACTACATCCTCCCCTTTGTTATGGGGGCGATACTTGACCCTGTCATCAACTTCATCCTCTCCCCTGTTATAGAGGCGATACTTGACTTTGTCACCAACTCCATCCTCCCCCCTGTTATAGAGGCATTGGATTGCGAAGTGATTTCACGTGCTTATGGATGCTGGACAGCTTCAGATTCTTCTAATCACGAGGTGCAGCTGATGAGCCTTAGAGACTCCCTCAAGATTCTCCAGTCTATGACCAATGATGCAGAGCGAAGACAGGGAAAAGAAAGTGATTGCCCTATAAGGCTCTGGTTACAACATCGCCAAATGCTAGCTTTTGATGTTGAGGATGTGCTGGATGAGCGTGATTATGAGCAGCTTTGCTGCGATGTTGAGACTCTTGGGGAGAAGAAGAGAAAAAGGAGTTCATTCAGTTCCGATATTGTTGACAAAATAAAAGATATGAATGTGCGCTTTGATGAATTAAAAGAGCACGCACGTCTACTTAATCTGGAGTCACACGAATTTCATCCAACAGCCATGCAATTACCCAAGACTGACTCTGTGCTTGGTGATTCAAAAGTTTTTGGAAGGGGAGATGATATTGAGAGAATTCTTGGCATCCTGGATGACTTGAGGGAGAAACAATATCTAGTGTCTGGAGTTTCAATAGTTGGCATGGGGGGCCTTGGAAAGACAACAGTAGCAAGATCAATTTACAAGAAGGCAAAGGAAGAAAAGCACTATGATCTTATAGCTTGGGTGTGTGTCTCTGAAGACTTCAATGAGGAAACAATTTTGAGAGAGATGCATGAACATTTTAAGGGTGGTGTCCCTCCAAGCAGCATCAATGTACTGGTTGAAGGTCTTGCCAAGGAGTTAGAGAAGAAGAATTTTCTTCTCGTTCTTGATGACGTGTGGAACAAAGATAAATCCAAGTGGATTGCTTTCAACAGTCGTCTCTCAGGAATTTTGAGGACAATGGGGAATTCCATTATGGTGACAACTCATGATGAAGAGGTAGCACTTGAGATGAGGAAAATGAATCTTATGCGAAATTCTATGCAAATTTATAAAATGCAGAAGTTATCATATGTTGAGTGCTGGTCAATAATTGAAAAGACGGTTCTCGAACTATCGGGACTACAATCAATTTCTCCTAATTTGAAAGATATTGGGGTGGATATTGCCAAAAAGTGTGGGGGCTTGCCATTGATAGCAGCTGTCATGGGAGGAACACTGAGCTCTGAAATTCAAAAAGGTGCGTGGGAGGCTATCAGAGATAATGATGCATGGAATTTGGATTCAAAAGATGGAAAATGGATTTTATCCATACTAAAAATCAGTTATGATCATTTGCTTCCACATTTGAAAAAATGCTTCTCTTATTGTTCAATATTTCCAAAGGATTTCATCATTGAAAAGGATTATTTAGTTCAACTTTGGATGGCTCAGGGATTTCTTCACCAACCTAATGAAAGCTCCACAACAATGGAAGAAATTGGTGATGCTTACTTTAACCATTTGTTGTCTAATTCCTTATTTCAAGATGTGAGGAGAAATATATATAGAGATATTATATCTTGCAAGATGCATGACATAGTGCATGATCTAGCATTGGCTGTTTCAAAAGATGAAACTTTAATCTTGAAGTCTGGTTGCAAGATTGACAAAAATACTACTATTCTACATTTGAGAGTCAAGCATGATGGGAGTGGACTTCCAAACATTCCAACTTATCTCCATCAAAGGTTGCGTTCTTTGTTCATAGAAGAGGATGCTGATGTTTTCAATAAAATGGCATCTGATCTCAAAAGTTTGCGATCTTTAAAATTAGTACAAGCTAAGACGGAAGAGTTGTGTCCTGCTCTTGGTGAACTAAAGCATTTAAGATACCTTGACATCTCAAATGGCAATTTTAAAGCACTACCAGGATCCCTTTCCAAGCTCTACCATTTGCAAACTCTTAGACTAAAAGGGTGCTCTTCTATTCTACAGATCCCTGATAATATGAGCAATCTAGTGAGCTTGAGGCACATTTATTTTTCTACTAATAAGCTTGTGCCAAGGGGGGTTGGGCACCTAACTTCTCTTCAAACATTACCTATATTTTTTGTAGATACAGAAAAGGGGAATGGCATTGAAGAACTAGGAGGCTTAACACAACTTAGAGGAGAATTGAAGATTCAGAACCTTGAACAAGTTGGATCAAAATCAGAAGCCACAAAAGCAAACCTAGGGGAAAAGACAAGATTGCACCATTTGAAACTGCAATGGAATGGATTATAAGGAAACTGCAGCAACCATGTGGAGGTTCTAGAAGGTTTTCAGCCTCACTCAAACTTGAAAAGTTTATCCATTGATTATGACATGGGAAAGAGCTTTCCGCCATGGATGATGAGTGGTGGTGCTACATTTTTGTCCAATAACCTGGTGGAGTTGAAATTAGGTGATTGGCATAATTGTGAACACATTCCTAGTCTGGGACTTTTGCCTTGTCTCAAGTTTCTTTATATTCATAATTTTAAAAATGTAAAAAGAATGGGTCATAAGTTTGATAGTCCAGGAGGAGAAGAATCAATCAAACTGTTCCCAGCTTTGAGACAAATCACGTTAAAAAACATGGCAATCTTAGAGGAATGGGTTGAAGTTGATGACGATGATATTGCAGCAGGAGGCAAAGTTAAGATTGTGTTTCCTTCCCTTGAGAGTTTGACAATTATAGGTTGTCATAAGTTGAAAACTTGGTTGATGGGTGGATTTTCATCTCATCATAAGTTGTCTTCCTTGGAGATCTACAACTGTGACAATCTAATGGCTATCCCAAATTTCAATGAGCTCTCGTCTCTTAAAAAGTTTGATATATACAGATGTCATGCATTAACTAGTCTGCCGAATGGGTTAGGCTCCTGTATTTCTCTTCAGTACTTGTGCATTTCAAGCTGCATTAATGTAAGGAGTATTCCAGAGGAGTGCCTTTTCTACCTCACTAGCTTGAAGAAGTTAAAGATGGGTCCTTTCTGCAAGGAATTGGAGGAATTCCCAGGACTCAATTACATTGATCGGCTGAGCTCCTCCCTTGAAGACTTATTATTAGAAGGATGGGATAAACTAAAGTCTTTGCCATATCAACTTCAAGATCTCACTGCACTTAGAAAATTGACTCTTAAAAAATTCAACAGAGTGGAAGCTTTTCCAGAGAGGTTGGGAAACCTCACTTCTCTTCAACAACTTTACATTTTTGAATGCAGAAATCTAACGCATCTGTTTCTACTCCAAGCCCTAAAGTCCCTTTATGAGTTAGAGATGGGTCCTTTTAGCTCAGAGATGGAGGAGTTCCCAGGACTTTATTGCATCCATCACCTCTATGCTTCCTTGAAATATTTAAGATTGAAAGGATGGGAAAAATAGAGTTTTTGCCAGATCAGCTTCAGCATCTCACTGCCCTTGAGATATTGACTCTAGAAGAATTCAATGGAGTGAAAGTTTTACCAAACTGGTTAGGAAACCTCTCTTCTCTTCAATAGCTGCAGATTGCAAATTGTCGTAATCTGACGAGTATGCCTTCTATTGAAGCCATGCAACGCCTCTCCAATTTATTATTTCTTTCTATAAGTGAATGTCCCACATTAAAGGAAAGATGCACCAGATTTAGAGGAGCCGAATGGTCCAAGATTTTTCGCATTTGCCATATCAGGATAGATGGGCGATTGGGGTGAGCATGAGGTTTGGAAGGGTAGGTATGTTTAATTTCTCATACCTTAATCTCTCCATTTATACCACAACTGCAAATTCCTTGTTTTCTTTGTCTTTGAAAACAGAGTTAGGGTTCCAATAAATTTGTAGAAAATAACTCTCTTTATATATATATATATATATATATATATATTTGAGACTTCTACTTGTTGATCAGATCTGTTCATTGAATAAGCAGGTTGAGCAGTTGAAGACATGAACAACCCTTCTCCAAATAATCATCCAATTGATGTTCTCTGGAAAGCTTTCTCATAAAGACGCAATGAGGAGAGAAAACAAGGGATTGCACAGACACACATTCTTTCATTTTTAAGGTTTGTTTTTTTACCCAAAATCTGTTGAAGAATTTTCAAAATATTTCCAGGATTTGGGTTCGAACCACAAAAAGTTGGTTCGAAGCAATTGCGCAGAATGCATTTGAGAAAGTGTAACTTTGGTTCGAATCATAATTATATGATTCGAATCATTTACAAAAAATCAAAATCCGAAAAGTTACAATTTTGGTTCGAACCACATTTTTCTGATTCGAACCATTTACGTCAGAATAAGAGATAAAATTCAGATAAGTTTCTGAAAAGAGTGGATAACTATGGAAGGCAAGGAAACTCGTCATTTGGAGTTCAAATCAAACCAAATGACTTTTGGAAAATTTTCCAACGGATAAATTTCATGATAACTCAGTTATTATCCGTTAATAAACTGATAATAACTGAAAAGGAGCGTCTGTTCACAACAGACATCTTACCCCTATAAATATGAAGTTATCTCTTCTTCTTCTTTGTCTCTTGAACCCAAAAACAAATCCCTACTATTATCTAAATAAAACAACCCATTTTTGCACTTCGATTGCTGCAGAAATCCTTATACAAAAACTATTGTTTTGTCGCTTTCCAAAGGACGGTTCAGTGGTTGATCTTGCTAGTGCAAAAGCAAGATCAACAAGGCGCTTCATTGTATCCTACGGGCATTTCAAGTTACTCCCTTTGCATACCAGATCTGGTGGGGGCAAAATTAGCCTAAAGGAAAGTGGCATTTGCAACACGCCTTGAAGCCATTTGCAGATTTTCTGCCCTATCTTTCCAAGAAAATCCTGCTTTTAGATCTCAAATTTTTATTTTACTTTCTTTTAAATTAATTGATCATTTTTTGTCCCTTTTTTTCCACTCTGTTCATCTATTTTATTTCTTTTACATAATAATAATAATAATATAATAATAATACAAAAAATGGAAAATCAGGACGTCTTGGCATGCCAGGACATCCTGCCTTCACACCATGCCTGAAACTCTCATAGCTAAAACTTTTTCTAGGTCTCTCTCTTCTTACTCTGTGTTCATGTTTCTCATTAACAGATGAGTCCTCGAATTCCTTCCTGTGTTTCTCTTTCCAAAAAATTTATTTGTTCATTTTTTTTTCCAATTGCATAGCAGTATATTTATTTGTATTGAGTACCTTATTAACACATCTTTTTATCTTTTATTTGAAAATCGGGTCCTTTGTTATCTTCATGATTCTTCAGCATCAAAACACTCTCCAGTAGCCATCACTATAATAATCAACCAATGCATAAGGGAAAAGAAACAAGGTATTGCTTGGACACACTGAGCGTAAAATTTGATGGAGTGAAGCCTAGCAAGAGTGATAAACAAAAGCCTTCATTTTTTATTTTTTATTTTAAGGTTTGTTCTCTCCATCATCCGCATTTAGATTTTGAGTATGATATATTTCTTCTTTTAAATTTTTTTTTTTTGTTCAGCTCTAATTTGTTCATATATTTTCTTAGAAAAATTGTAGGCGAGGAACTTCTCCTGCTTTGAATTCAAAATCTTGAAGAATTGAGGCTAATTTTCTCACTGGAGATCCAAACCGACGAGTGGTCCCTTCTTTAAGTTGTTGATGCTCATGAACAGATTTAGCAATTCTTCAGTGATATAGTCCTCAACTGATGGCAGCATTTGAGGTGCAAGTTTACCAGTATGGACATCCATCTTTTCTTATTCTTGCACAACCTTTTTGGAGCTAGTTCTGATAGGATCTCTCTTTTTTTTTTTTGATCAGCAAGATAGGATCTTTTATTTGATTACTATTTTGAAATCTGTAACTAAGGCTGAAGTTTGCAACTAGGAAGTATGTTTTCATGATGATAGAATATTATTTAACTATGAAATCTGTTATAGGCCTCGTCTATTGGGAAGTATCATTTTGTTCTGAAGTTGTTCCAGATAATTGCAGCAGAAATTCGTCAATTCCTTGAATTTAAATGAATGGACAATGAATCCAACAATGACACGTATGTGCGATTAATGTGTGCTTGAAATATCTGTAATGTCATAGGTTAAATTAATGTGTGCTTGAAATATCTTCCATGCCAAATGTTTGGTATGATGTGCAAATTGAACCCTTATTTTATCAGTGGCTTTTTCTTATCTAAGCCGAAACCAGAAAGTTTGTCTGAGTTTGTCTTACTTTGCAATCATATGTTCCCTTAATAGATTTACAATTTTGATCATGTTGAATATTATATCAAAATTTTAAGCATAAAAGTTAATTCCATTTCAGGTTTGGTGCTTTGCATTTTCGACCCTGCTTCTCACTGTTTGTGACCAACTAGGCACCTCACAACTTCTGGAATTGCAGCATTTTAACAACGTGCTCTATTCTTCTTACTAATTCTGATTCATATTCTTTCATAGCCCTTTTTCCCTCCTCAATCAAATCCCTAAATCTTGTGGTTAGTCTGCAGGAAATAGTCTTCTTGAGTGGGTGCTTAAATACTTCAAAAACATGGGGATACTTGTGAAGAAAGACACCTATGCCGACATTAAGTCCAATAATGTTTCTCCAACGGGACATCAGTTGTATGGAGACAAAGGGACCTCGTTTTCGATGGAAATGAGCTGTAGATATTGAAAATGGTTTTGAGTTTGTTGAGGTGGGTCATAAGCTTGTCAAGTTTGAGGTCTCTTGTTCTTGTTTCTAAGCGAACCTGAGCCGAAACAAGAAGTTTTTTCAATCTCCTTTGGGAAAATACGTTGAATGGGCCGAACAAGATTTTCAAGTCCCTTGAGCTTTTAAAAGGAATCATCTTTTCTGATCCGTATACTTCAGAAAGATCACGAGCTATTCATTACCAGAATTTTTAGACATTTAGCAAATGAAGCTCCCTCCTCTTCATATAGCAATGTAACTCAAGCCATGAAAGTTACTTTAATAAATACAAAACCATATGTCTATATCCATATCTATATAATGAAAAAAATACAAAGGTAAAGGAATCTCCAGCTTTTCAATTATGAAAACAGCAAAATTAACATCTTATATTAATATAAATATATATACAATGGCGTTGGAGCAACCTTGACGCAGCTGTCCTGGGCTTCACTCTGTTTTGCCAACGACATTAGAGGTCCGCGTAGTAATTCGATCGACAGTCACTAGAACAACGCCGGATTCGATGAAATCTTCTAATTAGCATTTCATCGAACACCATCTGTGCACTTCAGCCCTTCAAAAAATAACTATAATCAAATTTGGAAGGCATAAATGTGATATAAGGACCTCAACTTATACAAAATTCGCAATGTTGGACCCAAACTTCAATTGCACTCAATTAAGGTCTCAAATTTCACAAAATTCTCAAATAAGGTCCAATTGGACGGAAAATTAACTTTCGTCAAATCTAACAAACACCGTTAATGACTTCTTGAAGCCGTTTATCATCGGCTTCCGTGGCCTTGCACCTGCAGGTCCTGCACGCCTTTGCATGTTTGTTTTTTCCTTTACTTTATTTGTTTTTAGTAATAATATTTTATTAATTAATTATTTTTTAAATCAATGAATTAATATTATATAATATACATATCTTTAATTATTTTTAATAAAATAATGATATATTTTTTATTTTAATTAATAATATATTTTACTTCAATAGT